GACGACGACGGCGACGGCGACGGCGACGGCGACGGCGACGGCGACGGCGACGGCGACGGCGACGGCGGCGACGACCACGACGAGGAGGAGGAGGACGACGACGACGTCCCGCGTCGTCGTCGACGACGACGACGACCCGCGGCGGCGACGAGCGACGACGACAGTGACGACGATGGTGACGAGTGACGACGGCGACGATGACGGTGTGTGCACCAAGGTTTGGCCCAGCTCCGAAACTCTTAAGCTGGCCCGCATGGTGGTGTACACCTTGCCTTCTCAGACCTCCGACGTCGTTGTCGTGCTGTTGTTTTTGTTCGCTGCGTGGACCGCAGGATCTCAGACCACTTCTCCCAGGACCGGCTCTTCATCCTGAGTTGGCTCTTGTCGGCCCAGGGGCCTGGCAATTGCCCCCAGAGGCAGAACACTGCCCAACAACTTCGCGTCGTGTTTTTTTCACGAGGGGATGTTCGGTTTTGTAGTCATAACTCATTATCTGGCAGCCGATCGGGACGATCTGGTCACCCCCGGAACGCCCTGGGCGAGACGAAGATGCTCGAAAGCATCGCGAGGCTCGCAAACCTTCGCGGCTGCACAGAAGCGTCCGACGACCTCGAACTTCCAACCACACGTGGAGTCGCGCGAGGCCGCCGTGGACGCGACGTCGCGACGATGACGCTCCCGTGGTTGGGCCCGAGGTCGCGCGGCTTGGCGAGGAGGCCCGGCTGGCCCGCGCGGAGGCCGAGCGGCTGCGCGAGGAGGCCCGGCTAATCGCCGCCGCCGCCGCCGAGGCGGGCGGCCTCGGCGCAGAGGCTTCCGCCGGGGCGGCCGCTGCGCCAGGCGTGCCGCTCTTGCTTCGGAGGGAGGAGGGGCGGCGCCACCACCACCACTACGGTGGGGGCATTGGTTAAGGAATGTGCCCAGGAGGCTTCAGACCCTGGAGGAATCCTCAGCTGATGAGGGCGGTGGCGATGCCCCTGGCCGACACACACATATTGGAGTTCCACTGGCTTCCAGACCCCAGATTCCTCATCCAAGGCTTCCTTATTCAATGCCTCCGCCGTATATACCACCAGGGAGACCTTCGGCAACAAGTCCTGGGAGCCCCGCGTGTCCTCGTAGTTCCGTCTTTCGGGCGCACTGGCGTCGACAAGCGTCTGGTAATCGATGAGGAGGCGCCGATCTAGCGCCGATCGGCGTCGATTCAGCGTCGATTTGGCGTCGATTCGCGTCGACGTCGATTGGCGTCGGTTGCGCGTCGCTTGGCGTCGACTGTCGTCGACTGGCGCCGGTTAGCGCCGGTCAGCGTCGATTCGCGAGAGGCAGCGAGATGGTAGGGGGGGCTCCCATGAGTTTCAGGAGGGACAAAAAACACACAGAAACAATTAATCGTCGATTCCCCAGAAAATATGGGGAAATATGGGAAGTGGGGGGGAAGACAAAAACCCAGAACATATATGGAAATATAAGGGAATCCTGTTATTTGTGTGTATGTATTTGTGTGTCCCAGGGCCCCTTCGTAAAAGGCATTAGAAAAAGCGCGACATCGCACGAATCCAGGACATATCATGTCAAAAAGAGCTTCCAGGATCGATCACATAATGTTCGGGTGGGGCGATGGGTCAGGGCAGCTTCGGGGGAGGCAGGCTCGAGGGGTATAGGCCCAGGGGCGCTCGCGCGTGTTCGTTGGTCCCGGGAAGTTCTCCTGTCTCGGGACGCTTTCCTGGGGTGTTCGTTCCCGAACGGCCGCCGGAGACCCGAGTTACGACGGGTGCCTTCTTTTCCTTACTGCCCCTGTCCCTTCATGCCCGTGTCATCCTCCTTCGCCTCCTCTTCCCCCTCCTCCTTCGCGAACGGCTCGTATGTTTCTATGGTCAAGAGGATTTGGCGGAACGGTCAAGCAAGAAATATTGTGCAACCCGGAATTGCTTTCCGGTGTTTGAAAGGTTTGCGCAGATATGGGTTATTGGTTGCAAGCTTGGTTTGGCGGTTGGCTGACTGGCTTGCTGGACGGTTTATTGGCTGGCTGGTTTTGTGGCTGGCGGGCTGCTTGGATGCTTGATGGATTGGTTGTTGCCAACTGGACAGGTGGATGGGCTGGTGGTGGGTCGGTTGGGCGGTTGGTAGGTTGTTGCATTGGTTGGTTGGTTGGTTGCTTGGTTGGCTTGTCGATTGGCGGTCTTGCGGTGGAGGGCGCAATTTTGCGAAAATCCAATTTGCTGATCTGTTGCGTCTTCGGTGTTCTAATGGTGCTTGCGGTGCCTTGTCACGGCGATGGGCTCAAGTCATTCCAGTGGCGCTTGTTGCGGTAGGGATGCGTAAGCCCGCATTGTGGACAGAATGTCGCCGGGAAGCGGAATCAATAACGTGTTCAATGTGTCCATGACGCTTGTTACGCTCGGGTAACAGGGTCGCGCAAGTGCGGGACCCTGTTACGCATGCTCAAGTGCAGGTGCCTTCTGCGCATATCCTCACTCCGCCCGCCGCTCCAACATGGCCTCCTGCCTCGGCGCATGCCTGCCCGCCGACCTGCTTGCGCTCGCGGCGGGCGGCCGCGGCCGCGGCGGCCTCGGCGGCAGCACCTCCGGCAGCGGCCGCGGGGCTGCCTGCGTGTGCGCCTGCGGCTGCACGCTGCTGGACGACGCCTCCTTCTGCCACGCGTGCGGCGCGAGGCGCGTGCCCGTCCCCTCCCGCTGCGTCAGCAGGGCGTCTGTGACGACCACGCGGACGCCGCGGGGCGACTCCCCTTCCACCCGCAGCGTAGCCTCGACGAGGGACTGCGACGGCGGGTTGCCGGTGCTGCTGTCGGGTGTCCGCTCCGTCTCCCTCAACGCTTTTGAGGAGGGCGAGGGCGAGAAGTCCCCAAGCGCCGGCAGGGCGCCGCGTCGGGAGCTGACGCGGGCGACCAGCGAGCCGCTGCCCGGGCCGGCCGCTGGGCCGCCGCGGCCGCAGCTCGCGCGCGCGACGACCGCGGAGCAGCTGCTTGAGGTGACGGGCCTGGCCGGGCAGGCGGCGCTCGGCGCCACGGCGCGCGCTGGCCGCGCGGCGCTGAGCGGCACGGCCGCGCTGGCGGAGCGGGCGAGGCCCCACCTGCACGCGCTGGCAGAGTCCACGAAGGAGGCGGCCGTGTCAGGCGCCAAACAAGCAGACAAGGCCTTCAGCTCCTACCTGCAGCACGTCAGGTACAACCTGGAGAGCTACATCGAGGAGGGTGACGAGGACGAGCTCTCCGAGGACGACTCGTCGCCCCGCACGCGGCGCTCGTCCAGGCGGTCCACCCGCCGCCGCACGCTGGGCGCGGCCACGCCCTTGCAGGAGCTTGCGCCGGCGCCGCCGGCGAGCTCCCGCGTCGCGCCGCCGGCGCCCCCGCTCGCCGCGCTGGCCGTGCCGCCGCCGTCCCCGCGCCTCGGCGCGCCGGCGCTGACGCCGCGGCCGGGCGGGGCGCTCGTCGTGTGCGTGCGGCTGGGCGGCGCGTGGCATCCGGCGGGGGCGATCGCGGCGCCCGCAGGGCACCCGCGGGGCGCGCTCCCGCTGGGGCGCCCGGGCCCCGCGTTGGCGGCGCAAGGCGGGCCCGGCGCGGCCGCCTGCAGGTTCGGCGCGCCGCTCCCGTACGCGCCCCGCGTTGCCTGAGGGCCCGCGCCGGCCTGCGCGCGCGCGCCGCGCGTGGCCCGAGGCCGTGGGCCGAGGAGCCCAAACGGGAGAATGCAGCAACCTCGACGGAATGCCAGCTCCGTTATTTAGACGCGACTGGCCCAATTTGTGCACCACAAGAGCCCGGCGCGCGAGGCGTGCTCGGCCAGCACTTTGCGCCAGAGGAGCAGCTCTGACCTGAGCCCGCGCTGCTCTATAGTCTATAGTCATATACTCCAGGCGATCACTGGTAAATCTGTATGCTTCAGATGCGCGTGTGGACGAGTCCCTACCGCATGTGGCGTAGACGAGCCTCATGCGCTCATGCAGTTTTTTTTTCGCTGCAGTGCTGCCAAAGAGCAGCATTGCGCGGGTAGACCAGACGCGTGCGCGCCAGATTTACAGAGTAGCGCACAGCGTCGGCGTTTCGTTTGTTCGTTCTGCGGGAGCCACAGGCGGAGGCGACGCACCCGGAGAGCGCCGGCGGCGAGCTGAGGGGAGCAGACATCCTCCTGGGCACCCGAGCTTGCGAAAAAAAAGGGTCGCGCAAGTGCGGGGGAGGCACAGTGTTTTGAGGAAACAGTCGGGTAAGAGAGCACGCTTGGCCCTGGTGTGTCGGCAATTTTCCTGGGTCTTGTCGACGGGCTCGCGCCCATGAGGGGCAAGACGCTGGCTTTGGGGAGACAGGACGATTCACAGAGCGGGCCTGCTGCTCTTGGTCGGCAGGCTCGCTCCGATGTGAGAGAGAAAGGTTTGGGGAGAATCAGCGCCTCCGCGCCTGCACAGCCGCAGATGAGAGCGGACGTGGTCGTGGCGGTCTGGTGGTGGTCGGAGGTTTAGCCGGTGGGTAGATTCGCGTTGCGGAGGCCACGCGGTCGGGGCATCCGAGAATGAAACGGAGGGTTTGGTCGCGGATGGGTCGCAGTGCTCTCGGGCTGGGGCTTCACCAGGCCGCTTCCACTTGTACTACAACGCTAGATCGCGATCTTTCGCTGCCTGCAGTGCAGCATGCTCGCACATGGACCACATTTCACATGTTGTTGTGTCAGGAGTTCCTGCTGCTTCTCCTTTTCCTTTCCCTCCTCTTGACTACCTCCCCTCTTGGACTCCTCCCACTCTCTCCGCCTCATACTCTCTCCGCTCATCCTCGTCCTCCGCCTCGTATTCCCATTCCTCCTCCCTCATCGGCCCTCCTCATCGGCACTTTTCCTCCTCCTCCTCCTCCTCCTCCTCCTCCTCTTCCCGCTACTCATTCACCTCGTTCTCCCTCCTCCCGCCCCTTCCTCGACAACCCTGTTCATCTCAGGTGTCGCCCCCAGCCATGCTCCTCGTCCTGCTCCCGCTCACATTTACTCCGTTGCCGCTTGGGCTCGGGCCAGTTCCTCTCAGGCCGTTCTGGCCGCGCCGTCCCGGCGTCATCCCACACATTGTGCATTATATTTTGTAACTTCGGGGGGGCGCCACCTACATATTGACGTTGGCAGAGTTTTCGATAGACCTACATCGTCTTCAGCATGGTCGTCTGCGGGAGGACTCGCTGGTTTCGTTCAGCCATCGACCCCTGGAGGGGACGAGACGTTGAGAGTTCATACCCGCTCGCACATACACAAGCAGCTTTGAGTTCTCTCTCTCTCTCTCTCTATATATGTATGTATACGTATACACACATTGTACACACATGTGGACGGCACGTCATGTTGTTAATACTGTTAGTAGTAGTAGTAGTAGTAGTAGTAGTAGTAGTAGTAGTCGTAGTAGTCGTAGTCGTAGTAGTAGTAGTCGTAGTAGTAGTAGTAGTAGTAGTAGTAGTAGTAGTAGTAGTAGTAGTAGTAGTAGTAGTAGTAATACTAGTAGTAGTAGTAGTAGTAGTAGTAATACCTACAGTTGGTCTAGTAATTTGTATTCGTATCAGTGGTAGCGTTATCACTGCTGCTATAGCATTAGCACCATGATTATTCGCACTGCTGGTACATTCAGTATAGCAATCAAAAAGCGGTAACGAAGAATAATACTGGCCATACTATGAATACGTATGGTAGTGGTAACAAACATAGTCAAAAACGCATGGCTAATGAGTAGTAGTGGTAGTAGTAGTAGTAGTAGTAGTAGTAGTAGTAGTAGTAGTAGTAGTAGTAGTAGTAGTAGTAGTCGTAGTAGTAGTAGTAGTAGTAGTGGTAGTAGTAGTAGTAGTAGTAGTAGTAGTAGTAGTAGTAGTAGTAGTTATTGTAGTAGAAGTAGTAGTAGAAGTGGTTATAGTACTAACATTCGTAGTAGTAGTCGTCGTCGTTGTAGCAGCAGCAGTAGTAGTAGTAGTAGTAGTAGTAGTTGTAGCAGCAGGGGTAGTCGTAGTAGTAGTAGTAGTAGTAGTAGTAGTAGTAGTAGTAGTAGTAGTACTAGTAGTAGTAGTAGTAGTTGCTGTTGTTGTTGTGGTAGTGGCAACACTAGTAGTAGTAGTAGTAGTAGTAGTCGTCGTAGTAGTCGTAGTAGTACTCGTTGTCGGCGTCGTCGTACTTGTTGTAGTATTAGTTCGCCGTAGAAGTTGTCGTAGTAGTTATAGTAGTAGTGGTAGTAGTGCTCGTACTAGTACCAATAGTAGTAGTAGTAGTACTACTACTACTACTACTACTATTACTACTACCACTACTAGTACTACGAGCAATACTAACACTAGTACGACGACTACTACTACGCCTACTACCACTACGACTACGACTACTACTACTACTACTACTACTACTACTGCTACTGCTACTACTACTACTACCACTACGACCACTGGTACGACGATTACTACTGCTACTATCATTACGACTACTACTACTATTACGTTTACTACTACTACTACTACTACTACTACTACTACTACTACTACTACTACTAGTACTACTACTACTATTACTACTACTACGACGACTACTACTACTACTACTACTACTACTACTACCGGGGCGTGCGTCAAAAACGACTGCGCAGGATTTAGCCGCCGAGTTATACATCCACCCCCTTGCACTTTTCATACTCACGCGGCGTCGCTGACAGCGCGGACAGTCGTGGCCCTTGGCTGGGTACTATAGTTCCTGACCGCGCTGCCCAAAGAAGATTGCGCCGTTCGGGAAGCGGTCGAAAAGGAAGGCAGCGACGCGCCCATGCGGCGGTAGCCGAATCTGCTTCCGCGCCAAGACAATCGCGCGGCCCGCGCCACCCCTTTCCCCCCAGCAATGCAAAGCTGAGCAACGAAGCGACGCGACGATGCACCGATGAGGTCCATTGCAGTCGTCTCCTGTCGGTCTCGTCAGCTTTGCATCAATCAGGGGGGGGCGGGGGGGCGCCGGCGCTGTGCTCGTCTCTGCGGCTTCCAAGATGCGGTCAAAACTACAGTGCCGCCCGCGCGGGCTTCTCGGGGAAGGGCGTCGCGCTCCTGTGCTTGTGGTCAGCATATCATCGCGCGCGTGGAGAGTATTTTGTTTCGCACGCACTGGCGGTAGTAGTAGTACGGGTGCTAGTACTAGCACTGGTAGCATCAGCAGCAGTTGTAGCCGCACTTGTCGTCGTAGTAGTAGTAGTAGTAGTAGTAGTAGCAGTAGTAGTAGTAGTAGTAGTAGTAGTAGTAGTAGTAGTAGTAGTAGTAGTAGTAGTAGTAGTAGTAGTAGTAGTAGTAGTAGTCGTAGTAGTAGTAGTAGTAGTAGTAGTAGTAGTAGTAGTAGTAGTAGTAGTAGTAGTAGTAGTAGTAGTTAGTAGTAGTAGTAGTAGTAGTCGTAGTAGTAGTAGTAGTAGTAGTAGTAGTAGTAGTAGTAGTAGTAGTAGTAGTAGTAGTAGTAGTAGTAGTAGTAGTAGTAGTAGTAGTAGTAGTAGTAGTAGTAGTAGTAGTAGTAGTAGTAGTAGTAGTAGTAGTAGTAGTAGTAGTAGTAGTAGTAGTAGTAGTAGTAGTAGTAGTAGTAGTAGTAGTAGTAGTAGTAGTAGTAGTAGTAGTAGTAGTAGTAGTAGTAGTAGTAGTAGTAGTAGTAGTAGTAGTAGTAGTAGTAGTAGTAGTAGTAGTAGTAGTAGTAGTAGTAGTAGTAGTAGTAGTAGTAGTAGTAGTAGTAGTAGTAGTAGTAGTAGTAGTAGTAGTAGTAGTAGTAGTAGTAGTAGTAGTAGTAGTAGTAGTAGTAGTAGTAGTAGTCCGTAGCAGTAGTAGTAGTAGTAGTAGTAGTAGTAGTAGTAGTAGTAGTAGTAGTAGTAGCGTAGTAGTAGTAGTAGTAGTAGTAGTAGTAGTAGTAGCTAGTAGTTAGTAGGTAGTAGTAGTAGTAGTCGTCGTCGTCGTCGTAGCAGTCGTAGTCGTAGCCGTAGCCGTAGTAGTAGTAGTAGTAGTAGTAGTAGTAGTAGTAGTAGTAGTTAGTAGTAGTAGTAGTAGTGTAGTAGTAGTAGTAGTAGTAGTAGTAGTAGTAGTAGTAGTAGTAGTAGTAGTTGTAGTAGTAGTAGTAGTAGTAGTAGTAGTAGTCGTAGTAGTAGTAGTAGTAGTAGTAGTAGTAGTAGTAGGGGTAGTAGTAGTAGTACTAGTAGTAGTAGTAGTAGTAGTAGTAGTTGTAGTTGTAGTTGTAGTTGTAGTAGTAGTAGTAGTAGTAGTAGTAGTAGTAGTAGTTGTTGTTGTAGTCGTAATAGTAGTAGTAGTAGTAGTAGTAGTAGTAGTAGTAGTAGTAGTCGTAGTAGTAGCTTTTGTTGTTGTATGAATATAACAACAACGTTAACCATAACGATGCTATGCCAACATAGTAACACCGTTATGAATGATGATAGCAACGTGGAGTATGAACAAACGTCCCCTCCTTTCTCTGCTCGCCCCTCACCTCGATGGCATCTTAGGCATTTCGGTCCAGGAAGCCTCCCAGACACCCCGCAAAAGCTTCCAGGCGGCCCAGGACATTCCCCCGACGGCCACGAGACCCCAACAACGTCCAAGACAGTGCCAAGAGGCCTCGAAGAGGCTCCCATACCGCACGCGGGACCTCCAAGGAAGCCCCCAAGAGGCCCCAATCATGGCTACCGATGCTTGCGCATGATCCCCACGAAGGCTCCAAGATGCCCCCAAGAGACGCGCGAAGCGGCCCCGAGAGACCCGAAGAGGCGACCAAGACGTCCGAAGAGTCACCCACGAGGCCCAACAAAGGCTCCAAAGAGGCTCTGGGGGGAAACAAGAAAACAAACAAACAAAAAAACAGGAGCCGCCCAAGAGGCCCCAGCGGGCTCCCCAAAACCCAGAGGGCGCCCAAGGGACCCCCAAGAATATCCCAAAAGCGCCCCGAGAGCCCCCGAGATACCTAAGAGGCCCCCAAGCGGCCCGCAAGAGGCCCCACGAGACCCTACGAAACGCCGCAACAGACTCCAGGAAGGTTTTGAAGAACCCATAGCCGTTCCCGTGAGACTGCCCCGAAATATCTTCTTCCCTCCTCATCCCTTCCCTCCTCCCTGATCGCTCCTCCTCGTCCTCCTCCTCGTCCTCCTCCTCCCTTTTCCCACTTGTGTCCCTGTCCCTCTCCCCTTGTGCCTGATCTCTCCTTCACTCCTTCCTCCCTCTGCCTCCCTCGCCCAGCCTCGTGCCTCACGAAGTGGTAGGAGCCACCACTTTGCTTGAAAAGGAAAAACCGGCACGTCTTTTTGCAGATTCAAGTTCGCCTCCGCACCCCCCCAAGACTGCGTTTCCGCCTCTCCCGTCCATCGCTGTCCGTTCCCACGAATTTTGTTCTTGTTCTCCGTTTCACGGTTTTCTTCCTCATTTTTCCCCGTCGGGGGTTTGGTGGCACCAGAGAAACGCCCGCGGGAGACTGTCACGAGACATCCTCTCTCCTCATCCTTCTCTCTTCCCTGATCGCTCTCCTGCACCGTTTTCCCCGTTGCGTCCTTTCTTTCCTTCTTCCACCCCATGTATCCTTCACTCCTTCCTCCATTCTTCCATCACCCAGCTCCCAGCCTCACGAAATCGTCAGAGGCCCATCTTGAAATAAAAACGGAGTTCTCACATTTCCGTCTCCCCAATCCCCCGCTGTTCGTTCCGATTGTTCTCTCTCCTGCTCCGTCTTCTACCCCCTCCGTCTTCTACCCCCTCTTCTACCCCCTCTTGGTTTGGACGACATCCCAGCAACGCCCCTGGGAGACTGCCGCCAGATATCCTCTCTCCTCATCCCTCTCCCTCTCTTCCCTGATCGCTCTCTTGCTCCTTTTTCCCCGGTTCGTCCTCACTCTCCCACCTCATCTCTCGTTCATTCCTTCCGCAGTCCCCGTCCCTATATCTCTTCCCGCCTTCCTCGCCCTACTTCCCGCACTTGAACGACAAGCATGAACTCTCACGCATGTTTTTTTCGAGGCGCCCTCCTTCCATTCATACTTGCGCCTAGCGCTGGCGTGCCAAAGACTTCGCTTCCAGCTTCCAGATCCCTCGCCCTCCAGTCTCTCTTTTCTTGGTTTCTCTCTCTCTCTCTCTCTTCTCTTCATGGTCCTCCTCCTCTCGTTCCGCATCCCCCTCCCTCTTCTCCCCCTCCCCTTCGCCCTCGACGCCGTCGCCGCCGCGGTTCCCGCAGTGCTCTGTGCTTCTGGCACGCGTGAGGGCTCCTATGTTGTCGAATCCCTGACCGCCAAAGACTGGCCCAGATACCCCCAAGCTCGCCCCATGACTCCCACACAGTGCCCCGATGGCACGAAGGCAGTTTCCCTCCTGCCCAGGACAGTCCACACAGCCCCTTGAGGCCACCCTGGAGTCACACAAGACCGTTCAGCCGAACGCGTGTTACTGCAGCAGGCCCCACCAATACTTCATTTCATAGTACTACAGCAGGCTCCGCCAATACTTCGTCTAGAACTTGAGCGCGCGCGAAACGCATCTTGGTCTCGATGCGTCGGGGGACCGCAGCTATTACGTCGCAAGGAGCGAGGGTGCCTGACACACCTCTACCGCAAGGAGCGCAAGCGCGGTGGCGGATATGTAGATGCAGTTAACAAGTACGCTTTTACACGCACATGTTTGTTCGTCCCCCGCAGCATCGGGATAACTGCTTGTCGTAGACTGACCAGCTGGGTCAGCGTAAATTGTAATCGGATGTTTGACGATCGCGCTCGAGTCAACGTTGTGCTCTCCTGGGTGAGTGGCGTGCCAGAGGCGAGCAGTGCTGGCAGTGGAAGAATGGCAAAGAGTCCTGCAGCAGATAGATGCACACACACACGCCTACTCAGATCTGGGCCAGGCCCCGTCCTTGGCACATGATGTGTGTATATGTCATCGGGGGGGTGGGGGGGGGCGGTAAACAGGTGGTGAAACGCTGCACCTTAGGTGCACCTCTGCAGCCCGCGGTGACAGTTTGGGGGCCACTCAGGGCCCTTATCTGGCACCGTCCGTTGCAATACGGCGCAATCGCATTCAGTCTGGCCCAATCCGCAGCCAGGCATAATGGCCTGCTGATCGGGCCTGGTGGCCCTCAATCGTTCTTGCGAAGACTTCCCAGGAGTTGCCTCCCAATTTATCGTCCAGGGCTCGCCCCCCTCAAAGGCTGATGGAATCGCCCTTCCCCCTCCCCCCCCCTCCGTGGGTGTGGGATGGTGCTGCTGTGCAACCCTCGTGGCGTGGTGTTGAAGTGTTCAGGGAGCGGGAGTCCGTCGTCGTCGTCGTCGTCGTCGTCGTCGTCGTCGTCGTCGTCGTCGCCCCCCTCCATCCCATCTTGGGGGGTGGGAGCCCGCGGGGGCCAGCAGCCCCAGAGCATGTCCCCTATACCCCCTGGAGCAGTTAGTGCAGCACTTGCAGGTCGTGTCGAAGAATCGTCTGGGGGACTTTCCGGGGGGCTGTTTTTCATCTCGGGCCCGTTCCTCGCAGCCCCAGGGACCGAAACGGTCCCCAGGGGCCGAAAATGACGAGAGCCCGAAGGCGACGAAGACGAGCGGATCGACGAGGAGAGTTGCATTGCTTTTCCGAGGCAAGCGCAACTTCTTTCAATTCGGCTCAATCCGGCGCAACCCGGCACGATCCCGCCTGATCCGGCTTACTCTTGGGTTCTAGCTGGCCCAGCCGGGCTCGACGGCCCCTCAATTGGGCTAAAGAGCTCTTCGTGAGTAAGGGATGCGAGGCCCGATTCCCTGCGGTCTATGTAAGGACCAGTAAGGCTCGTTCTTGCGAAGACCTCTCCTCATGCATACTTCATACTTAGCGCCCCATCCGCAACTCCCGCCGCGGGCTGCGACATGCGCCTGTCTCTCGCGCTGTCCGCGTGCCTCGCCTCGACGTGCTGCGCGGCCCCGCCGGCGGACCACGCGGCGGCCCTGCTGCAGTTGCAGCGAGGCGGCGGGGTCGAGGTCGGAGATGGGGACGAGGACTTGGAGGGGCCTGGTGTACAGTGGAGACCCATACAAAGAAACACCCTGCTTGCCTCCAGGGTGCCCTGGGTGTCTTGGGTTTCGATCGTTTTGCGTCGGCAAGCGTTGCGCTCCCACGCCAACAAAATCAACGGACGTCCTGGGGTCTCAGGGTTGGGCTCTTGTGGGAGCTCTCTTGTGGACCGGCGCCCACTGTACTCGAGTTTCCTGTTCCCCTGGTCACAGCGGGCGTGACCGGGGGGGGGGGACAGGGCGGGGGTCGAGGGGGCCGGTCACGTCACGATTCGCGCGAGCGACGTTTGGGAATGCCCCAGAACGGCTCTTTCCCAGACTGCTGGTGCGAATCGTGGCGTGACCAGGGCGGGAAAAGGGGGCGGGGGGGCTGGTCCTGTGCGTCACTGCGAATGATAAGAAACATGTGTTTCGAATCACGAGCACAGCATAAACATTCTTGGAAGTCCGCACAGATTTCTTCGATCGTCGCTAGGGCCTCCCGGCGGCGCCACCCCCGGCGCCGATCCAAGAAGCCCCTACGGATCTCGGATGCGCTACCGTGGCATAATTTTGCCCCGCTGTGGATGCACCACGTCGTTTGGCTGGCCAGGGAGCCCACGAGTTCGGGTGATTAGTTCCGTGCACAGGCGCTCCAGCGTCTCAGAGGCTGGGCAGCTGATGCGCTTACACACCTGGCTCCTGGGCCGGCCAGGCGACGTGACGTATGCGTCGAGCCCTCCCCAGAGGACCTGTCCGGCTTCGATGTCGACGTGGCGGATCTGAAGGGCCGCGCCTTCCGCCGCCAACCCCCCCAGTCCGAGCCATCTCTCTCGGGGGGAGGACAAGGTACCGATGCCGCTGTCCTGGTCCAATTTTCGTTGTTTCGGGCCTCCAGGGGAGGCCCTTGCCATCACGTCTGGATTCATATCGAAATTGTGGTCCGAACGCACCCCCGGTGGGGTTCGGCGAGCAGCGTTTCCCAAGATTGTGGCCATATCGGAGCAGTGGCTCAAGCACCTAGTTCATCGCTGGCGGAGCCGCGCGCGCAGTAGGCAGTGCCCAGACTGTATCAGAAGTTCCAGCTGCATGTGGTGTCAAAACGAACGCCCAGACAGGGTCATGCGATGAGCAAGCACCCAGGACTGCGTATGTCGCTCTTCGCTCAGAGCCGTCTTGGGGCCCTCCTCGACAAGGGGGGCGTCTTAGGTTGGGGCCTCCTGGGATGGCCACCTTCGGCCTATCCTGGGGACAGACCTCAGAGGCCTGCGCCAGCAGGGACCCCCACAGCCTCGCGCACCCCAAGGGGAGCCGGCGCTTCTCATGGAGGACGAGGACAAGCCGGGCAAGAAGCGCCGCCCCAGCTCGGTGAGCCGCGCGAAGCTCGAGACCCTGACCTCGACCCTCGACGAGGCCATCCCCGTGCTGGAGAGGGACTTCAAGGCGAGAGGGGCCGCGCTCCGCGGGCGCCCTCGGCCCGAGAGCAACGCGGGGGGCTCCAGTGCGCGAGCGACCCGCTCCCCCCCCCCGAAGAGAGCAGAACCGAACCCAGGGGACCCCCCCTATACTGAGGCTTCTGCATATTTGCATGAGCATGTGCATGCGACTGTGCGGCATGTGCCTGCATGTGCGACCCCTTCCGGACCACAGTTTCAAAGTGAGCGCTACAGAAGTGAGCGCTATAGAAGTGAGTCCGGTGTACCTCCCCGCAAAAGCCACCTGATCTTAAGTCGGGCCTGTCCCTTTACAGGGGGGAAATTCAAAAATAGTCAAAAAAATGTCTGGGGACTATTTTTTGAGAATTGGGCATCTTTAGCGTATTTTTGGGTATTTTTTGGGGTATTTTGAACTTTTCGTCGAAAATCGGCCTGTAGGGGGACAGGCCCGACTTAAAACTGATCCCCCAAACCCATGCCCCAATTTTCGGATCAGCCGCGAGAGCGGGTGCTGAGGTGTTCGGATAGACACCATCGCCCCAACACTCGCACCCACCTGAATCCCTTGTCCCCCCGCTCCATCCCTCCCTCACCAGGACCCCAGTTCAAGTGGGGTGGGCGGGTTAGATAGAAACCATGGACCCCTCCCCCCCTTCCCCTGGTGCAGTGGAGGGGTTCTGGTCACCCCCATCGCGCCGGCAAGTGACGAGGACGACGACGGCGAGGACGACGAGGACGACGAGGACGACGATGACGGCGGCAGCGACGACGACGACGACGACGACGACGGGTACGTACGCCGAGTACGTGCGCCGAAAACGCGACGGCGACGGCAACGGCGCCAGCGACCGCGACTGCGACCGCGACGGCGACGACGACCACGACGACGACGCAGGCTGGATATGAAAGCCAGCGGGCAGGCCAGGGGGACGTTATATTCAAGCGGGCGTTTCGGTCTGGCGGAAGGGAGATTGAAACGGTCGGGAGGCCATGACATGAAAGCGTGCGGGTTGGTCGGATGGGCGAGACATGAAGCGGCCACGCTGGCCTGCGGGACATCAGAGCGGGTCGGCCGGATTGGCGTCGTTGTCGTCGCAGTCGTTGCCTTCGCTTGCTGGCGCTGGAGGGGATGGGTTCGTAGCCCCTTCTAACTGCGAAGTGTCCGCCTATGGGATTGGCACGAACACCAATATCGACGGTGTGCTCGCACTGAGGGAAGATGACCACGGTGTCGGTGATGGTGTTTATATTATGGGCTATGGTTCCTAGGTGGCCGACATGTTACCACCAACACCAACATCCAGGATCGTCGTTACACGGTGGAGGCACGTTGGTGCTGCAAATTAACCCCAAGGGGTAGGCCTGCCCCTCATGCCCACCCCTCGGGCCTACCCCTAGGCCTACCTCTAGGGCCCACCCCTAGGCCTACCCGCGGCCTAACCCTAGGACCTACTCCTAGGCCCACCCCTTTGGCCCACCCCTAGGCCGACCCTCGGACTACCCCTAAGGCCATTTCGGCAGTGTTGAGTCTCATGTGTGGCCGCCAGCGAGGACGTCCTGCACCGGCGCCACGAGGCCAGGAAAGCCAAGCTCAAGATAATGATCAATCCAGCTCGTGCCACAGGGCGCGGGAGGACAGAAGTTTCGCGCGACAGGGACAATGAGGGTGGCGAGATCTGGCTCAGTCGTCAGCACCTTCAGGTCCGGCAAGTTGGAGCAGATGATGGAGCATGTCGTCACCTCATCTCGGAGGACACTTCTGCGGTCGACGATTTCACGGCCACCATCCTCCACCTGCATGGGTATTCGGTAGTCGCGATCGCCTTCTACGGCTTCTGCTCCGACGGCTTCGGCGGCAGGAACTTGCAGAGGTATGCACGGCTCGGAGCTTTTTTGTCTCGCAACTTCGACTTCCTTGGTTCATAGCAGGGGATTTCAATGTGTCTCATGAGCTCTTGACGGCCAAGGGTTTCGTAAGCAAGGTTGGTGGAGTCATTTTCACTCTTGGCACGTCGATCACATGCGGGTCAGGCAAAGGCGCTTTGCTTGATTATGCCGTTGCCAGTCATTCTTGCGTGCCGTATACTGCAGGCGTCTCAGCGATTTTTGCAGTTCCCTGGCAGCCACACTGTGCTTTGGAGATCTGCCTCCGAGGCTCAGGCAGTCAGCTTCTGTGCCGCGGGTTGGTTTTGCCAGCTCGCCTTCCGCAGACGCCGAGGCCCCGTGCTTTTCCCACCCAGGGATCCAAGTCTAGCATCGCCAAGCAGCAGCGTAGGATCCATCAGCAGGGCTCCAGGGAGCAGGTCTCAGGCCACTCGTGCCATGTTCGGGGACCTCGAGGATCCTGAGAAGGCCCCTGTCTCTTTTTGGGAAGTGACGTATGACTGCGAGTCGGATGTCGAGTTCGATGTTGCGCGTTCCTTGTTTCCTTTTTGGGTTGGACGGCTGACGCCGCCCCCGCGCCCCGCCAGCCCAGGCCCGAAGAGGCTCAGGCGAAGGGTAGCCTGGCTGGGCAGCGCGGCGCGGACAACCGTGCCTCTATGCATGAAGGGGCCTCCTCCACCCCGAACGAGCCCTCGGCAGTTGGAGATCTCCCCGCGTTCTCTCTCCCTCCCAGCCTCTGGAGCGCCTGCGAGGAAAGGGTCGGGCACGTACATTCGCACGATGTCAGTGACGTTTGGAATGTCGTTAAGGACTCTGCAGCCTTCAGTGTTGGAGGACAGCACAGGTTGCGTTTGGGAGCCTTGTGTGGTGCGTGGGTCTCTATCCCTTGCGATTTACGAGTATCATGATTGTGGTTATGCCGGGCCTACGTCTCCTGCCCAGGGGCCTTTTCTTCCAAGCTGTTGAGGCCAACGCTGTGGACAAAGCTCGAGCTCGGGGCCGATTCTTTTGGCGACACCGCGACTTCCCGGCGGGGCCGTCTATCCACGGTTCTGGCCAGACTGCGCAAGCATCGCGCTCGTGGCAGCGGCGAGGTGCAGCGAGCTCAATTGGGCACAGCCTTGCGGGCACTGGCCAGCGACCAATCGCCTGGCGCGCGCGCTCCTCTGGTCGATTCGCCCAGTGCTTCGCGCGCTGCCCGCGGCGGCGTCGGCGAGGGCGCCCCCGCCAGGAGCGATTGGCAGGCCAAGCTACTACGTGTCCCTCTGCTTTTCACATGCTCAGGTGCGCAAGATGGCCTCTGCGGCCAAGCTCCCGGGTGCTCTGGCACGCAGTCGGGCTGCTGGGGGTTCCCCCGAGCAGTTCACAGAGCGGAATGCATTGCCAGGGGCCTCTCAGGAGTACTTCACAAAGCCTTGAAGAAGGTCCGTCTTGTACCAGGCTGACTTCGGGTTGATGGTGAGACGTTGCATCATCCGGTCTACATCGCGGATAGGAGGGCCCTCGAATGATCTGCCTTCTGGAGCCCCGGGCCACCAGACTTCGGCGAGGTCAACTGCATCTTCAGGGACATCAGGGACGCGGCCGCTTGGGAGCAGTAGGAGCCCCTGCGCCCCGAGCGCGTTCGGTGGGCTCTTCGCCCGCTGAAGCCCGAGGCAGGGCGTGGGGCGGGCGAACTGACACCCCTCGACATGGGGCGTTTCCCCCCCAAGGTATCTTTGAGCTCATCGAGTCGTCTGGGGCCTGCGGGGCCTGCCTGGCCAGGCCCTGGCCGCCCCCGGCGGTCCTGGGCCGTCTCCCGGACACATAGGATGAGAGGGATAGAGTCATGAGGTTCATGCCGATGGTTTCCAGGACGCGGTCTCTTGCCCGGGAGGGCGTCGCCCGTTCCTGGCCCAAGGGAACCCGGCCCGACTGGGGCGCGGCGGCGGCGGGGCACCCCGCCCTGCGCGAGGGCTTTTCGCGCGCGCTACGAGATGAAGGATCATCTCGCCTAGGTACTTCATGGGGAAGGATTGTTCGACATCAAAGACTTTGCGATGCCATGCAGTGGGGGGTGCCTTGTCAGGTCGGCTCTCAAGACGGCCCCCCCCCCGCAGATGCTCGCGTTCGAATTGCAGATGTGTCTCGCCCCGCTTGCGCTGTCGCAGATGGGTTCCTGCTCTTTTGCGTTCCAGCCGAGTCGGAGCATCATCCAGGGGCTCCGCACTGACACTCGTTTTGGTCGATGTCTCGTGTTTTGCATCATGGAGCGCCTTACCATTGCGAATCCGCACATGTCCTATCGCACATGGGTGGATGACCTCACGCAGCACGTCGCGGGCACAGGTAGAATTGTCAGATGTAAGGTGGTCAGCGGCTTTCGTGGCGCATGCCATGCGCTGGCGGAGCACTGTCTCCAGGTGGCCAGCAAGGTTGCTGGTTTGGGCTCGCCCGCGGCGGACGGCGATCGCGTTGCGCGTCGGCTGAAGAAGCGAGGCTTCGAGTCGCAGGCCGCCCTCCAGAGCTCCTACTTGGGGGTGGACCCGGGGGCTGGCAGGCCCGCGAGGGCCACTCGCACCAAGCGCGCCATCAAGGCCAAGCAGATGAGAAATCGCATCAGAGGCTTTGCGCGGGCGCCCAAGAAGTATGTCAGCATGGGGCTCCCCGAGAGGGCCAGGTCTCAAGCCGCGGGGGCGCACGGGCATCAAGTCACTGGGCCCTCCGGTTGTTTTCGCGCCCCATGTCGGCGTCGTTGGCATTCGTCAGCCCCGGGTAAAAAGGGGAGATGTCTTGCCGCTCTCTTAGATCTCAGGGCTGACGGACGCGACCCCGCATGCCCCGTAGAGGGCTCCGCATGTGGTTGAGGACGTGGCTGAGGAGCCTAGGATCCGCGCCCCTGCGCGCGCTGCATGGCTTGCCCTGGCACAGCAGCTCTGTTCTCTTGCGCCGCCGCAGGTGTTGCAACGCGCCAGAGGGCCGATCTCCACGGAGTGCGACATGCCCCACTTGCGCACTTGCTTGAGTTTGGATGGAACCCGGTCTCCCCCACGGAGTGCGACATGCCAGCTGGCGGTGAAGAGCCAGGCAACAATTTGTTTCTTGGCTACTTGGTTACAGCTTCTGAGGAGAGCAGCGGGCTGCTTTCCGATTTCGAGGGCGCGATTGGGGCGATATTTTGGGCTTCGGCAGCTTCGCGCCACCGCGTGGAAGGGCTCCAGCACGGGGCCGACAACGAGTCCCTCAGGGTTACTGTCAGAGTCTTGCAAGGGGTCTCCGACGGGCCCAGGCCTGCCGAGCCACGCTCACTATCTCTGTCGGTGGCACTTGGCCACTGTCTAGAGCTCGTCAGGAGACGAGCTCCATCGAGGACGGCGCGTGCCCCGGGTGCGGCTTGGCTCCCGAATTCCCCCTTCCACCGCCGCTGGATTGTTCCAGAAGCGAAGGGCGCGCCATCTACGAGGAGTCCCAGTGCCTCCTTCCCAGTGCCCAGTCTGGCCAAGATTCCGAGGCTGTTTCTGGCGTCGAGGTCTCATCCCGAAGTCCCGGGCTCAGGTGCCTGGGCCCGCGCGCGAGGGGGCTTGGCAGGTCTTTCGGATCCCGGCGACGCGGCCGGCGAGCACGTGCTCGACATCGGCCAGCGCGACGATCCAATTCTCATCTTGGGCCAGCGAAGGCCAATATTCCAGAGACAAGCGTCTTCGGAGATGTGGGGCATCCGCGGTCTCCTTGGTCACGCGCGGTCCAACTCGCGTTCGGGCTGCCCTCTTTGGAGGTCTCACAGGGCTCCCTCAGTCGTTTCCTCGCGGTGAAGGGGCACTTATCTGGGGATCAACTTCTCCTGGGGGCCCGCCATGTACGTTGCCGACGCCAGCGCTGTGGCAGACGGCTGGCGCAAGGGGTGCTACTCCGGGCCTCGAGGTTCTAATGCGTTGGCATGGGATTTCATCCGTGAATTTATTCAGTCTCAGGCTCGCGAAGATCAGGCTTGACCCGGGCACAAGACATAAGGTTCCAAAGGTTGAGATGGAAGCGCCGCTTGTCAGGGGGAAATTGCTCTAATGCACCCTCGAGGCGATTGCGGCTCGACCCAGAACTGCTACGACCAGGCCGCCCCTTTCTCCAGCTCCCTCCTCTGTTGCCCATTTCGGCTCGTCCCACGTGCTCGATGATAGCGGTGGGAGATGTGATAGATGTCATGGGTGCGCGTCCATCGACGCGTGCACCGAATGGCTGAGCTCACTCTGTTTCGACTTAGAGTCTGTCAATTCACATGTTTTCTGACTTCTGGGGGGGTTTGAGGTTCATGTGGGGGGAGGTTGAAAATACTCTCTCATTCGGCCTTCTCCTCCTCCCGATCGTGGAGTTGTTCTGCTTGTGGCTTCTACGGAGCCGAGCAGCTCAGGAAGAGTCTTGCGTCCGAGTGCGCAGGTAATCTCAACCTTGTCAGGCGTAGGTACCTCGATGATTCTGTCGAAAGGGAAGTCGCCTAGGAGGCATTAGGTATAGACTGTCGCGAGGGCCTCCTGAACCGCGTGCTGAGGCCTCCGTTGTCGCACTCGTCGTCGCGCTTGTCGCCCTCCCCGTCGCCCTCCCCGTCGCACCCGTTGCGCTCGTCGCCGTTTCGTGGTGCCGTCGGTTCCCTGGTGACGCATGTCATACCAGCGTCTTGAGGGATCCCTCCTAACTCCGCTTCCTCGAATTCAAAACGATTTCTGTGCCTGTCGAATCGAATCGATTCGATGAGGAGCAAGGGAGACAGGAGGAAGGGAGGGAGGGAGGGAGGAGGAGAAAGGGAGGAGGAGCAGGAGAGGCAATGCGAATTATTCAGAAGGAAAACAATGGAGGAGCGCCCCCCGCGCCCCCAATTTCATTGTTCACCTAATCGCGCAGGCGCAGGCCGCGTTTTTCAAATATGGGCATTTTTTCCAGAATGACTCGCGCTCCCCCGCGTCCAGCGCCCAGAATTTTGAAATTGGAATGGGGCCCCAGTTTCAGGCCCGCTTCACCACGCACTGGAGACGGTCGTTTTTTGGTCGCGGCCGCAGGGGAGCGCGCCAGCAGCGTCAAGAATCGGGCGGGCTGCGCGCGAAACTGATTGCCTAACGCGCCGACAGCCGGCGGCCGAAGCAGCACCTAAACTGACCGGATTGCGCGAGGTGGTGCGGGCTGCTGCTGCCAGGAACCAGGTCCAGGAGCGCATAGAGACGGTCGTTTTCTGGAAGAGAAGAAATGTTACACAAAATTCAGGAGGGCCTACCCCTAGGCCTACCCCTGGAGTTTGCCTAGCCCCCAGGGCCTAGTAGGTTAGGCCCTGCCCCAGGCTGCCCCAGGGTCCAGTGCCTGGGGCCCGGGGTGGCCTGCCCCCTCCGTGCCGGGCCCAGTGCCTGGGGCCTACACCTCGGTGCCCGTGCCCGCTTCCGGGCCTCCCCAGAGATTCACCACCCACCAAACCACCCCAGCCCAACCCGAAGGCTCAGATTTACCCTCGATTTCCAGTGGGGGGGGGTCAGGAAACACAGGAAAAACACATGTGGAACCCTTCCCCCCCCAACCCGAAATTCGGGTCTTCGGGTTGGGTTGGGGTGGTCTGGAAGGTAGTCAGAGACTTGTCACCTTTGCCGAGGTGAAGACGCAGCAGCTCAAGGTGGCCCTGGCCGGATTCAAGTCCAGGCAGAGGGACATGGATGTGGCGAAGAGGGAGGCTCGGGGGCGGACAGACCTCCCACCCTGAAACGTCGATTAGCGAATTGGCCGCTTTCGGTTCGCGAGAGGGCGTCGCGGCCGTCATTTTTGCTGGTCCAGGTCTGTCGGTTTCGACCCCAGGCCGTTTTCACGAAAGGGAGGTTTACTAAAGGGAGGTTTGCCCACCGCCGGGAGGCGACCGCGGCCATGAAGGCGCTCCGCCAGGAGGCGGAGAAGCGCCGCAGGGCCGCCGCCGACCGCAGGCTGACCAAGGAGAGGGAGCGCAGGGCAAAGGACGAAGCCGAGCGCACCGCGAAGGCGGCGATGATCAAGAAGGCGCAGGCTCCTAGCTGTCCCTGAAAGCGCTGGGGAGTACTTTTTAGCCAGGGTCCCACGTTTCGCTTCGGATCTTTCAGGAACGTTCTGCTAAACATGGCACGATCAAATGTGGACGTCTGGCAAGGGGGCACTGGGATACCTAAGAGCACATTCACAGGTGGTCCACGGGCCGATCCCGTGCCTGAAAACGTAGAACATTGCGCACAGCGTTTGCTTGAAAAGATCGTCTGAGCGCAGGCTCTCATGGGCGTGAAGGGCGGCTCGGAGGAGGGCATCCTGGGCGACATGTCGCTGGGCGTCATGGTCGACGTGCTCATGGCCCTGCCGGAGGCGGTGGAGAACCCGATCTTCGTCAAGCGGCTGACCAAGTCAAAGGACCTCGTGGTGACCTCCGTCCAGGACTTCCTGAACATCACGCGCCGCAAGACGGCGAAGTTTGTGCTGGCCGCCAGCAAGGCCTCGGACGTGGAACTTTCGTTCCTCCTGGCGCGCTACTTCCACGAGGCCTCCTTCCGCGTCAAGGCGATGCAGTCGGACTCGCAGAAGATCGCCAGGCGCGTGGCTCGTCGGCGTCGTTGTCGCCCTCCTGCTGCTCGTCCTGCTCCTTCTCCTCCTCCTCCTCCTCCTCCTCCTCCTCCTCCTCCTCCTCTTCCTCCTCCTCCTCCTGCTCCTCGCAGCGCGCCGCGCGGGCGCGTGGCGCGCCAGAGGCCGATGTCCGCCAGTGCTGGTGGCGGCAAGCCGTGGGCGGCGGCTTCCGCCCGGTCGCTGGCCCGGCGCCTGCGGCGAGAGCAGCAGGCAGAGCGGGGCTGGTCTCGTGCGGCCGCGTTGTCACGCCGCACGAAAGCGCTCAGGGCTTCGCTCGACGTCCACTGGCGCCTTGGTGACGCCGTCGGCTGCTACCTCCCCACGCTTGGCGAGGAGGTGGCGGCCGCGCGGCTGATCGGTTGCGACCCTGCCCTCCTCACCGAGGCGGACGCGGCGCTGGTGGAGGGCAACTCCGCACGCCACGCGCCGCCGCCTGGCGCGGCGAGAGGGCTTGTTAAGATGCCTGACGGGCTGGTGGCTCGGGCGCTCGAGCGCCTGCTGGAGGGTGCTGCGCCGCCCCTCCGCCGCGACGCCGAGCCGTTCGTTCCAGCCGGTGTCAGGCTGGCCTCCACGTTGCTGTGCGAGCTCGGCGTGGACCAGGTCGCGTGCAATCCCAGCGTCGCCCCGCCTGTGCAGGGCCACTCCCACGTCGTGGTGGACGTAGAGCCCCTTCGCGATGCGACTGGCGCGGTCGACGCCTCTGTGTCAGAGGAATCGCAGTTGGCGGTCAACCTCGGCATGCCGGCTGAGGATGTGGTGGACCCACTCGTTGCGTGCAGTGCCAAGCCGCTGGAGGAGGTTCGGGAAGATCCCGTCGTGCAGGCCTCCAGCGAAGTCAGCAGCGTGGCCTTTCCTGGAGGTGATGAGCACAGCAATGGTGTCCAAGGTGATGGCGACCTTGGCGCTTTTCTCTCCGACGGTGAGCCTGCTGACGACCCTGGCGGAGGTCCTCATGATAGTGATTGCGTTGCCCTCGGCTCCGAGGGCGAGCCTGCTGATGATCGTGGCGGACATGGTGTTGAAGATGGTGTGGCCCTCGGACATGGTTGTGGTGATGCTGATGGTGCTGTCATTCCGACCGCGCTCTTGCAGTTCCTGGTTCAGCAGCAGGACGCTGGCGCCGTGGTCCACGAGAGCGACCTCATCGCGTGGCAACTCGAGCAGATCGAGGACAGCATCCAGTCCGTGGCCCACCTCATGGAGCGCGAGACGGAGGTCCAGGAGGCCATCGACAAGATGATCGACCAGGGCCTCGGCTCCGTCATGAGGCCATCGCTCGGCCCGTCGCGCGCGAGCCGCCTGCTCGCTGCTAGCCGCCCTGCGGTCGTGCGTTCGTGGCCGAGCTCGGGGCATCCTGGGGGTGGCGTAAGTGGCGGATCCTCGTGTGGTCCCAAGCGCCACCCCCCAGGCACCCCAGAAAGCGGCGCCGAGGGTGGCGGAAATGGCGGATCCTCGTGAGGTCCTTGCGCCACCCCGTCGGCGCCGCCCGTCTTAGTCTTGCGGGACTCTTCCCCTCGGGGCTGCCCTACCTACTCCTCCTCCTCCTCCTCCTCCTCCTCCTCCTCATCCTCATCCTCCTCCTCCTCCTCCTCCTCCTCCTCATTCTCCTCCTCTTGAGTCAGCTGGGGGGCTGAGGTGGCCTAGCACGGGTTCAAGCCAGCAGAGAGGGGTGAAAAAGGAGGCCCCTCGTCGTCGCGGCTGGACACGGCCCGACAAACTTGTCAGGTTAGACCCCAGGATGGGTCCGGGGATTGATCTTGAGCGGATTTGCTTTCGTCCCCCTTCATGACCGACTTTCTTTCCCCGTCCAGCGCAGACCCCCCGCGGGCGCGTCCGAGCTGCTCCTCCTCCTCCTCCTCCTCCTCCTCCTCCTCCTCCTCCTCCTCCTCCTCCTCCTCCTCCTCCTCCTCCTCTCGTCCAGGGATCTCAACGTCGTGATGCCCCCCAAGCTGCGGAAGAGCTTCTGGCCCATCATCAAGGGCCTGCGAGCGAACGCGGTGTGCAGGGGAGGAGAGTCAGAGGGGAGGTATGCAGGGGAGGGGAGGGGAGGGGAGGGGAGGGTCAGGCTCGGGGGGGGTCGAGGAGGAGGGGGAGGGGCGGGGAGGGGTGAGGTCCCACTGCGCGTGAATGCCACCAGTCTTGCGAGCGCGACCATTACGAGCGCCTGCTTGGAGATCTCCAGCCTGATGGGGAACATCAGCGACTATAACAATAAGTTGAATTCCATGCACGGGAGCCTGCACAGCGTCTGGCAGCTCTCCGAGCTGATGTTGCCGAAGGTGGGCAAGATCTACCCCGTGAAGCCCATCGTTATCGATACCGTGAAGGACGTGATGGCCATGGCGACCAATGAGGTTCGAGGAGCAAGCAAAACGGCACAAGCACAATCTCTCGGAGGTCCGCGCGGATTTCTCGGGTCGGCGCCAGAGGCCTGCTAGGGGGACCCGGGTCCGATCCCTGAGCTTCCGGCTGATGTGTGGGCTCCCAAGTGTGGCATCAGTCGCGTTTGTATTTTGCCTCTCGGCGCACGCGTGTATAGTGTGCGTACACCGCGCGATCGCCGTGTGTGCCAATGCTTGTCGAAGGTGGCTCAGAGCCCACGGAACGCGTCGCTTTTTCCGGAAGGCGTGTGGGACTGCGCACGGTAAAAAGTGAGCTTGGAAATCCGCTCGGAGTTTTGGGAGTTCATGCTTGTGCAGGTGTTTGTCTCCGTTCTTTCGCTATAACCGTTGAATGTTTACCTGTGGCTGGCGTGGCGTGCTCTGCAGCAGGATAGCAGGGGCTGAGGGCACATGTGGCCAACCAGGAGCTCGGGAGAGGCATTGCAAGCCAGAGACCGCCTCGGAACGCAGAAGCGGGGCGGCACGGCCTCCCGTGAGATCGGAAGTTGCAGAAGCATTGCAATATCACAGAAAATCACCACCGGAGCCCCGGAACCCATCTTTCTGCGGCAGTTTTCGAGCCGGATCGATTTGTGATTCCCGGTGCGCGAAGGTGCCCGATGTCAAGAGCCTGCAGCGCCAAGATCTCAGGGTTATTGTTCCTGCGAGAGGTCGCCGGCGAAAACGCCCGTTGTCAAAAAACTGCAGCGCCAGGATCTCAGGTTTTTGGTTCCTCCAAGAGGTCGCCGGCCTCGCGGAGGCCGCGGACGAGATCGTCACCAACGTGGGCCCCATCTCGGGTGTTGCCAGAGGTGCCCCTGGCCCAAGGCGCCCCCAGGATCTCCACGGAGGCCCCCACGGCCTCCAGAGAGCACCCCCCTACGAGGTCCAGGGCGCCCCAGGGGGTCCAGAACTGAGCGACATGCTGGGGGCACCCTGGCCCAGAAGCACCTTTCGCCTTGGCATCGCTCGGACGTGTGCATGTTTTCTCGGCGAGAACCCTCGAGGACCATCCTGGACCCTCGAGCGGCAAAAAACACACGCGCGGAACCGACAACATGCACGGGAAATGGGCGTCCGAGCGACGGCAAGTCGCAACCCCCGACCATCATCGCCGAGCGCATGCAGTGCACCTGGAGCGCCGCGCCGCCGCGCGCGGCCGCGCTCGGCTGGGCGGCGCTCTTGGCGGCGCTCGCGGGGGGCCTGCTCGCCTGAGGCCCCCCCCCCCCCCCGCGGCGGCCCTGGGCGCCACGGCGCCCCTGGGCGCCACGGCGCCCCTGTCGGAGGAGGGCGAGCGGAGCCAGCGGTCGGGGGCCCCCTCGGGTTCATGAGGAAAGCACGAGCTCACAACGGAGGCTTTTGTTTCTGGCCAAAACAATGTACACATGGTTCATGTGTACTTCTTCGAAAGTTCTCTGGTTTTCTGGGGGGCCAAGATCCTTTCATGTTTATCTGTTCTATCCTGGGCCTCTGCCTGGCCACGTACTAGGGGGCCAGGAACAATTAGAAATGAGCACAATTAGAAATGAGCACGATTAGAAATGAACGACGTGCCTGTTCTGCCAGGGGGGCCTCGCCAGGCCCCAGGGCCGGCAAGAGACGACTCGGGATGAAGAGGCGGTCCCGGGGAGCGGGTCCAGGCCTCTGGGGGTCCCGCGTTCTGAAAGGCTCGTGGCGTCGGGGGTCTGGGGTAGTTGGCCTTCGGGGGGGCGCCCTCGTCGCCGCGACTGGGCGCAGCTCGGAAAATTGGTGCGTCTGGACCCTGGGAGGGGTCCGGTTCGATGTCTGTCCATGGGAGCTTCGGGCGGCGACATTGCAGTCAGCTTTTCTTGCACGTGGGCCGCATTTGGCCCTGCCTCCTGCTCCTCCCTGCCCTTTCTGCTCACTCCCCCTCCCTTGTGAAGGAGCGAACGCGGTCCAAATCCGGCCCAGATCTGGTCCAACGCTTTGGTTTTGGGCCCAGGCGCTGTCCGAGCTTGGGCCTGATTCAGGCCCAAATCGGACAGCGCCTGGGGCCACGTACAGTCTACCCGCATGTTAAGGATGGGCAATCTTCCCAAGGGTAATTATGTACCTTTTAATCCTTCCCTCCTCGGTCCAATCCTTGGCCGCTTTCGTTGGCCGCGCCTCGCTCGAAAATTTTCGAGATGGCCTTCCAAGGCCCTTGCATTCTTATCGGGCGCCCTTATGATACGGGCTGGCGGTAGTCTCCTACAGAACGGGCGCGCAAGTGGGGAACCGATTTTGAGCCACCGTTGTCTCAGATCGCCCTGCTCCAGTCTGTGCGGCCGCGCGGGCTCGCGCCCGGCTGCGGAATGCGCAGTGGTCCCAAGGCCTTCGGTGGCCCCTGCCTCCTCCTCCTCCTCCTCCTTCTCCTCCTCCTCCTCCTCCTCCTCCTTTTCCTCCTCCTCCACCTCCTCCTCCTCCCTGTCTCTTCTCCTCCTCCTCCTCCTCCTCCTCTTCTTCTTCTTCTTCCTCTTCCTCCTCCTCAAGGAAGCCCCTCTGCTACAGTCGATCGTTCGATTAGGCAGCCTCCTCCTGGAAAGCTGGACCAGCTTGCCGGGAAGCTGGTCGCCCATGCGGCATGACAACAGAAATTGGTCCAGGCTTGTTTTGATCAGCTTCCGGCGGGAAGCTGGCACCTATTTCTGAAACGATGTGTTTTTTGGTTATGTGTTCGGCAGTTGGCCTCCCATCTCAGATTCGAGCAGATGGTGCTGTAGGATCGCACCGTATCGCAGATGCAACGCCGATGCGGCTAGATGTGGGGCCCGATTGTCTCCGCGCCGACGGCGCTGATGCATCGACGTGGTAGTCAGCCACGGCATCGTCGCCGAGGCATCCAGGAAGTGGTACTCAGCAGGCCAATCTGGGCATGCGTAGAAGGCCATCGACCTTCCGCTTTGCCTTGGCCACCTCTATCGGCCTCCCCCCCTTCCTTCTAGACCCTTCCTGTCCATTCTCCGTATAATCATGATTCTCCTCCTCCTGCTGTGATTCTTAGCCAGGTATCTGCGTCCACTCTGACACCTAGCCTGCCGTGAGCGAATTGATCTATGTTCTTGCACCCTGTCCGTCGGAAAACTATTCACAGCGAGCGTGCTTCCTTTCAGCATGGGCGCCGTGTTCTCGAGGGTACATCATGTTCGCCGTGACCGAAAGTCCTTCGCAAGGGGGGGCCACTGAAAGGAGGGAGGCGGAATACGGACCGCCGTTTCCGAGGCGACCGCCGTCTGCTTTACGCCAGGTATCGTCGGTTCGCTTTGTCCTGTCCTGGCGGAGGCCCCCGCTGTACTTATCTTAGTTACCGCCGTGGCAAGCCATCAGAGGTACGGGTGGCTTCGCTGGATACATTCGTAAACGCATCGCCATACTATGATTGAGTTTCCTGGCTTAGGCGCAGTTCTCTTGACAGTTCTAGACGCTTCGCGTGACCTCACCAGCTTATCCAGAAACAATGCTCAGACGATTTGCCCTGATCAGGGATGTGGAGGGGCCATGCACTGAGGAAGAACAGGAGGAAGAGCAGGAGGAGGAAGAGCAGGCGGACGAGGAAGAACAGGAGGAAGAGGACGAGGAAGAGGAGGAGGAGGAGGCAGAAGTGGAGGAGGAGGAGGGCGAGCAGAAAGGCCAGAGGCATCTTCGGACCCTCTCGGAGTCTCTTCGGATGTCGTTCGAGATCATCTCAGGAGTCTCTTGGCAGTCCCGCCTCTTGTGGCGTCTTGGGTGCCTCTGGGGGGCCTCTTGGGGGCCTCTTGGGGGTCTCTTGAAAGCATCTTGGGGCATCTTGGGTGGCCTCTTGGGGGCCTCTGGGGCTCTCCTGGACACCCCTTGGGGCCGTCTTGGGGAACCCTCGGGACCCTCGGGGTCCATTATGGGGCCGTCTTGAAGGTGTTCGATCAAGGAAGGGGGAGGTTCCAATCAGGGTCCCCCCCCAGCAGGCCAACATGTGGCCAACACCTCAGTAAAATGAATGATTTTGGCATTCTCGCCGAGGCCTCTTAGGCCGTCTCGGGCGCCGCTGGGGAGGCTCTTGGAGCCTCTCGTGGGTCTTTGGGAGCATTGTGGGGCCAGCTTGGGGGCCTCTTAGCGGCCTCTTGGGGACTCCCGGGCACCTCTCGGCGCCGTCTTGCGGCACCCCCAGGAGCCTCGGGGGTCATCTTGGAGGTCATCGATCAAAAGGGGGGCGTACTAACGTTTGGTCCCCTCCCAGGGGGGCCAAAACGTGGCCAACTTCTCAGTCAAATCATTGATTATGGCAGTTTCGCCGAGGCCATCTTGGGCGCTCTGACCGATCGCGGCGGGGGGGCGAGAGAGGTAAACCTCCCGGACAGAAAGAGGGTGTTTGCAAGAGGAACGACAGAACTCGCTAGGCCACTTATGTCCAAAGGGCTGGTGGGATTGAGCGTCAGGGGTGCGCATGCTCTGGGGTGATGTGTGCAAGTTCTGGGTGGGCGGCAGGCGGGCTGTCTCAGGTGGTTGCGCGGGCAGCGGGCCGGCATTTGGAGGCCGCGGACCAGAACCTGGAAGGGCGCCCCATAGTCAATTTCGGTCCCCCCTAAGGTTGAGAGTATTTTGATTACCAGTCACACAAGCGTAGCTCGAATTCTGACCTCTGGCAGGTTCTTTCCCAGACAGCTTCTTGGAGAGCTAGCAGCGTAGCAGAATTAGAAGCCGGCACCGCAGGGTAGCCCCGGAGCTCGTCCTGGCTTCCTCCAGCAGGACACCTCGACGCGAGTTGCTTGAGTTCGCAGCGTGTCGCGAGAGGCCTTTGCTAGCTGTTTCCCAAAGCGCGTGCCCGGAAGCTCTCCAGAAGCTCCTTCGGAAGCCCCTTCCAAGAGCTTCCAGAGCTCCTTCGAGAGGCCGTGGACGACGTTCTGGCGCTCCACTAACCAGCTTTTGGATTTCACAAGTCAGACGAACAGGGGTTCGGGGAGTGCCAAGGGGGGTAACCAGGTAACTATCAGGAAGAACACCATCACCGCCTGGACATCGAGGATCGAGAAGGAGGGACGATCGAGGATCGTGGAGGCTTTGGACGTTTTGGGGGATCCTCGAGAATCCTGGGGGGGGGTCTCGGGGTTCGGGTGGGCCCTTTATCCTGGACGCGGGCGGTACGGTCAGCAACTTTGGCCTAGCGTGTCGCGCCGCCGGTTCTGGCCCACCACGCTTCGGCGCGACACGCTGTCCACGTCCCCATTCCCAAGCCTCCGCGTCACGAGCTGTTCGCCCGCGGAGCGGAGCGACACGCTACCCGCCTGCAAGGCATAGCACGTGGCCGGGGCCGCGGCCGCGACACAGAGGAGCAGTTCCGGACCGCAGGATTGCAGCTGTTTTATGTTTTCTTGTTTCGCCGATAGGCGCGGGCCCCCTGCCTCCCCCCTTTCCACCCCCCCACCCCCCCATACCAGATCTTGGCTGCTTTTGACGGCTGCTTTGTGCGACTGGTCAGGACCCCCCCAGCTTGCTTGTGCGAATGCTAGAAGCACATGGGCTAAACACTGGCCCAGACCTAGACCATCCCCTCCTCACCCTTCGGCCAACTGCCGAAACCCAGGTTGGAAAAATGCTTACATTCAAGTACCTGGCCCCCTGGTGCGCCCTGGTGCGTCGCCGTTCGAGACCGATGGACATGGCGTGCGCAGACGAGGGGCCGCGCGCAAGGTTCTTGAGTCCAAGCTCAGCATGCCATTTCTCTTGTTGGCCCATTGGTCTTCCAAATTTTAAGTCGGGCCTGTTCCTCTACAGGAGGAACATTCAAAAATAGTCAAACAATAATCCAGGTACGATTTTTTATTATTATTATTATGTTTGCCCTTTGGGGGGTAGTTTTTGGGGTACTTGTTATGTTATTTTTCCCCCAAAATCCCCCCGTAGGGGGACACGCTCGACCGAATCCGAATTCTCCGCCAACGCCCGCTTGCGGACCCGTTCGCTTCGGCCTGGCCGTGCCCTGCCTGCATGCAGCGCTCACGCTCGAGACGACCGACATGGATACGGAAAGAATGGGTGCGATGCCCAACAGCAGCTCCTGTTCATTTTGAACAGAACTCGCTGTCCGCGCCGCCGCGGCCTGTGTCCATTTGGGACAGGAGGCCGCCTGCCCAACAGCGGCCGCAACATGTGCTTTTGGGCACTGTACCCACTCTTTCCGTGCCCATTTCGTGCGTCCAAACACGCGTGGCTGCCCGTCGGGCCTCCCGGCCCCCCTCCCTTCTCCGCCCACGCCCGCTTGCGGACCCGTCCGCTTCGGTCTGGGCGTGCCCTGCCTGCATGCGGCGCTCACGTCACGCGTGGCTGCCCGTCGGGCCTCCCGGGCCCCCCTCCCGCCTCAGCGTAGGCGACCCCGAGCAGCAGGCGCCGAGCGCCCAGGAGCGGGGCGCGCGCACGACGTCGTCCGCTTTGCCGCCAGCGCCTTTGCCTTCGCCGCCGCCGCCGCCGCCGCCGTCGTCGCCGTCGTCGTCGTCGTCGTCGTCGTCGTCGTCGTCGTCGTCGTCGTCGTCAGCGTCGTCGTCGTCGTCGGCGTCGTCAAAGTCCAAGAATTCAAAGAATCGGGCGGGCCCAGGACCAGGATACATCGCACCAAGGTTGTCCAGATCCCTGTCTGAGCGTTCTTGAGCGGTTTGGAACGGCCACGGGGCCCGATACATCCTCCAGAACCGTCGGAGCTCAGAGTTTCCCGATTTTCCTCGGTTCGGTTATGTCTCGGTCGTGGCTTCGTCTTACAGAAGGAGAGCCATGTTCATAAACGTAAAATGTTGGAGATGTTGTTCTACATGAGCCGTTCTTGAAATCATTCATTGTCGGCTCAGCCGTTCGGTTTAAGTGGATTTTGGTTCTTTGAAATATACCTGCGGTTAAGAAATTGGTCTTTGCCCGTTGTCAGAATTTTATACGCAAGGGGCCGCCGATTTGATCGATACATTGTTGCTTTCTGCAGGGGTGGCTACCTTCGAAGATTTGCTTGTTGTTGTCGCATTTGTTTTGCAGCTTCGGCTCCAAACGGTGTGCCGGGAGTGTTGTTCGGAGGTCTGCGCGGATTTCTTTGATCGGCGCTGGACCCCCTCGCTGGCGCGCTGCTCCTCTAGCGTCGTCGCCAGCGTCGTCGTGGTCGTCGTCGTCACCGTCATCGGCTAGATAAGCTCAGAGGAATTCGGGCGCAGGGCAGAGCTAGTTGGTCGACCTGGCCAGAAGAGACAATGTGATGACCTGAGGTCGAGATTCGGGTTATTGTGAGAGATTTGACACTTCATTTTGAGGACCATCATGTTTCCTGCCTGTAGTGCATTCCGAGGCGTTCTCCTGTCTTAGTTTCATGTCCGTTTCTGCAGTACTATAATGATACATGTAGGGAACCGACGCCGTGTCGATACCATTTCTGGCACACCGCTTGTCGATTAAATTGATTTTGAGTTTTTGAGCAGCTAGGGAGCTCTTAGTCACAGCAACCAATTCTACAGCATCGAAAGCACTGGTCTGCAGCCTCGAGAGGCCCCAGATCGGGTGTATATCCGAGCTAAGACCGAAATGCCATAACTAATGTATTAGCGTGCGATCGGTTTACGAACTTGATCTCGACATCCAGAGCAGCTACAGAGCCCTTATTTACACCAATCGATCCACCAGCCTCTCTACAGCATTGGTCTAGAGCTTCGAGAGGCCTGACATCGGTCTCGCATTCGGGTCATGATCGAGACACTACTCGCACCATATAACTTGTGTTTGGGGGCGCGGTCGGTTCGTGGACTTGATCTCGAGACGTAGAGCAGCTACAGGGCTCTCAGTCACACCTGCCGATTCTGCAGCCTTGGAAGCATTGGCCCAGCATGGCGAGACTTCAGATCGGTCTCCAACTCGAGCTTTGGCCAAACCTCGATTCGCAGTCTGTAACATATGTTCGCGCGCCGTCACGTTACGACCCGATTTCGGGATTTAGAGCAGCTAGAGAGCTTTCAGTCACTCCAATCGCTTCAGCAGCCTCGGGAGCATGGGTCTAGAGCTTCGGGAGGTCTGAGATCGGTCTCCTACTCGAGCTATGCCCGAATGACTGCTTGCATGATGGAATCGCTATTTCTGCCGA